ATCACTGGATGGCACCTGGGGTCATTATGATACAGAGCTACTCGGCAGTAGCCATACCATGGGCAGTGGCCGGCCCAGCTCTAACCTGCCAATGACATTTGGTCCATAATATAACGGGAAAGTGTAGCATGTCATTAGAAGCAAAGCTGAAAGCATGGAGAAAAAGAGAAACAGCCTAGAGAAAGGTCAGGACAAAGGAAACACAGGTTGTAAGGGCCAAACACGAAGAACTCAGTCAAAGGTGCCTCCCCGACAAAACCTTCTCAAGCACATTTGGGGATTTGGATGAACAGGAATTTGTTTACAAAGAGCCTGCAATTACCAAGCAGGACTGGGGTCCTTTGAACTGCTCACAATTAACCAAAGATTCACTCCTTAGGGTTTCATTGCTTTGAATTTGTGCCCTCCTGTGAGTGTAAAACTTAAAACATTTGTGTTGCCTAATGACTTCTTACACCCTCCATCCATGCCAAAAAAGACAAGAAGGTTTATCCTTACTTGACTCAAAGAAGCCATTGCCCAGAGTGGTGGGGTGAGTTCCCCCAAAACTGTTCAGCACATGAGAAAAAGAGCGAGCAATTGACCCCAGACCACTTGGTTCCCTATATTGTTTCCCCTACTTAGAATTAGAGGTATATATTTTATCTTATTGTGCACTGTGATTTGCCACAATATGGGAAGCCTGGTGACCTCTAAGTTCCCAGGGTACAGAAGGCGAGAAGTAAAGAGTGTGATACCCCAGGAGATACCGCAGCAAATAAAGTGATATTAGCTGAATTAGAGGCCAAGCATACATCTTATAGGGAAGCATATACCAGTTGACAGTACTATTTTTATTTTTGTCTTAGGAAATGCTGAACTTTGCTCATTAGCTCAGAGGGACTCTCAATAATCAGTGAGCATCATTCTACCGTGCACTTGTTCCAAACTTACTTCACTTTCAAGAAGACAAAGAGTTGCATTATGTTAAAATAACCTTTATAAACTATTGGTTCTTCTTACCTAGGCATTTTATGGTCAATGTTTTGGTGCAGAATTTGTGGAAGTGATTAAAGACTCCACTCCTGTGGACAAAACCAAGTTGGATCCTAACAAGGTATTAAACAATTTACAAAAAATAACCTTCACACTCTAAATCCCTTCATTCTCTACCCAAGAATACATAATGATCTCATCCACCTGGACTCTCCAAGTCACTTAAATGCAGCAAACCTTTTTGTCTAGAGTTCAACTACTAATTGGTCAGATCCTAAAGAAAACATAGTCAAAGGCAAGAATCATAATAGGAGCTACCATTTATTAAGCACCAACTGTGTATCTGGAACTGCATTAGGCCCTCTACATGTATCGTTTTATTTCATCCTGCAACAACCCTTGGAAGTAGGTTTTGTTGTCCCTGTTTTAGAGATGAGAGAAAACTGAGACATAGAAGAGTCAAGCACCTTTCAAGGTCATGCAAGTGGCAGAGCCAGTACTCAGACTTGGGGTCTGTTGCTTCTAAGCCCCTACTCTTCAGCACAGCTCTTCACTGCCTTTTTATAAAGCCTTTAAACTATCCATTTCAAACATGTGAAAAAGATGTGAATTTCCCAGTGACAACGTTTAGTGGCTTCCTTCTTGAGGCTGCAAGTATTCCTTCCAGCCAACTACAGGATCACTGTGCTGTTGGGGGAATGGTAAAAAGGGCTTGGGTTTGGGTTTCCTCACTTTCACAAGAGGGCATGTTCCATTTCACCCCAAACTGGGCGTACAGTTCTGATGCTAACACCTGGAGGTAGCATCAGTTCCCACAGGTTAAAGGCTCAGTCCTCCTCAAGACCGCCCTGACTTCAGATGCCAGCTTCAGGCGGGATCCCCAGGCCACCCACACTTCTGATCAGCCAGCTACGAATTTGGAAGTTTCTCTAACCTGTTAGCTTGAAAATAGGAGAAAACAAAACAAAATAATAATAATAATAATAATAATTTGGAAGTTTCTATGACACCTCTTGATTAAATAATTCACTGCAATGACTCACAGAATTCCAAAAAGTACTCTGGTTACTATCAGAGTTTTATGATAAAGGGTGAACATCTTTTTTGTCCCTCTGTTTATGGCTTCCTGGCTCATCAGTGTGTTCTCCAACCAGGAAGCTCCACCAAGTCTCAGTGTCCAGAGATTTTATTGGGGTTTCATTATGTAGGCAAATTGAACACAATCTCCAGCCCCTCTCCTGTCTCCAGAGGTCATCCAGTTCCTACCCTCTAATCACAGAACTGGGCTTTTTGGTGACCACTTGGCATCCTGAAGCTGTCCAGGGGCCCAGCATGAGTCACCTCATTAGCATCACAAAGACACCCATCACTGAGGAAATTCCAAGTGTTTCTGAAGCTCTGTGCTAGGAAATGGAGACAAAGACCAGACAAATTCTTTATGATGCTACCCGCTCAGTCCAACTCACAGGCAGACATGTCCATGAATGAGCTTTCTAAGTTACTGCAAATAATGTAAGTGCGAGATATCATTAAGGGCCCTGGGACAGAGGACCATTTACCATCTAGCAAACCTATAAAATGAAAGGTCCAAACTCCCAGTTCCATCTTCCAGGATATGAGGAAGATAATGGAAGATGGGAAGAATTGGCCAAATTGAAGAGTTTGTTTTTCTACATTTTTCAGAACACATTCTCACTTAAGACGCATTCCCTAGGCTGGACTTGAAAGCAGCAACTGTGGTAAGAGTTTAGTCTTCAGACATACATGTCTGGGAGATGGAGTTGGCCGTGTGCCCACAGTGATCTGTACATAGCACAAGCTGTGTAAGACGTGACCTCCCTGAGCCAAGGTGCCCTTTTCCCCTCTTTTAAAATTCCCAGGGTAGGTTGTGAGCATTTGGAATGAGAGTCTGAGCCCAGAATTACAACCAGATTTCATTGTACTAAATAGTGATTTACAGTCTGAAGTCAGTGACCCCACCCATCCCCTTCAGTGGGTGAGTGTCCCAGCATCTGGACTTATGGTCACTTTTTTTTTTTCTCTAAGAGGTTGTCTTCTTTAATGAGTACTTATTCGCTCTGTGTTTGAGGGTGGAGGTGATAGGAGTGTGTGTTTAAATGAGGTCTAGGCAGTAAAATTCAGTTTTGGTGTTTAGTTTTATAAGTTTTGACAAACACATGTAACTACCTTCATAACCAAGATATAGAACAGACCTACCGCTCCAAAATACTTCCCGTGCCCATTGCTAGTCCATGTTGCAGTAGTTTGTCTCTTTTGAATAGCAGTTTGCAAACTCTCATGCCAAGGCTTCCACTGTGGACCAGTTTGCTCTGCTAGGAAGGTGTGGCCGGTGGCCCTGACTCTCCCCACAGGCACATTCCCCTCTCCCTCCTTGCAGCCCCTTCTCTCCTTGGGGGTGGAGAGGAGGAACTTCTGCTGGCCACATTCTCCCCTGCATCTGTAGCTTTTCTGCACCTGGCAGGGCGGTGTTGGCACGCCATGTTCCAGCATGCCCCTTCATTGCGTCAGGGATGGCTGTTTGCAGAATAGCTCATCTTCTCCCTCCCTGCCTTTCCCCCCTCAGGCCTACATACAGATCACTTTTGTGGAGCCCTACTTTGATGAGTATGAGATGAAAGACAGGGTCACATACTTTGAGAAGAATTTCAACCTCCGGAGGTTCATGTACACCACCCCGTTCACCCTGGAGGGGCGGCCTCGGGGAGAGCTGCATGAGCAGTACAGAAGGAACACAGTCTTGACCACCATGCACGCCTTCCCCTACATCAAGACCAGGATCAGCGTCATCCAGAAGGAGGAGGTAATGCGCCCACGGGAGTGGCCACCACTGGATGAGTGGGCCTGGGTGGCCTCCCAGGAGGACACACAAACCTCCTTCACAGTGATTGGGCTGAAAACAAGGAGAGATGCACTTGAAATATGATTATATGGTTGTCCTTTCACTCTCATGGTGCCAAAAAATCCCATTTAGGCAGCTACATATTTTATAGCACTATTGTATATTAAATATTTAATATTTTTAAGTTGTATCTTTAGTATAAGTATGTTTATATATTTAATTGTAATATTTAATATATATTTCAATTATAAACTTGTACAACATATGTATTTACATTTTAAATATTTTATATACAATTTTTCTGTATTTAAAAGCTTAGAGGTGATTCAAGCATAGTTGTGCTGTTAATAATTGGAGACAGGACCTGTACGTGGGCAGCCCCAGTGAGTAGGTGGTGTGCTGTGGGAAAGGGCCACGTGAGGCGGACAAGTTCACTGACTAGCTTCTAGTCCCACCTTCCTCCTGTGATTTTAAACAAGCTACGTATCTTCAGTTTCTTCACCTATACGTTAGCAGGAAAGACCTCTAAGTGCAATGCAAGACTGTACTCATTTTATTAGTAAGAGGACTAGTCAAGAAAGTGTCTCAAACCACAGAATTGTTCAAAATTCTATACACCATAAACAACTTATTATTCTTTAAAACACATACATATACATTTATTTGTCATCCTTTTTATGCAGGGCCACAGACTTCTCCCTGACTATGGGTTTGCTGATCACCGTTCAGCCTTTTCTTTTATAAACCACACCCATAGTGCTTTGTCCATGATTTTCAGTTTTGCTTTGTGTAAGCAGAGTGAGAGCTTAAAGATCCTTGTTAAACAATTTGAGAGCAGAAGCCTTCTGGATTGTTATGATTTTTTTTCTCCCCTAGACTTTGACAGTGGTCTTGTGCACACCTAATATGACAGGAATTTTTATAGCAACTCACTTTCATAATGTCTTGTCCAAGCACTTGGCTTGGTTTCCATAGAAACAACTCTTTTTCTTTCCACACCCATAGTTCGCCAGTTTCTCCATTATCTAATTAGATTGGGTCATTAAAATAACAAGTATAACAGGCACAATCAAGTTGGTGCACAAACACAGATGAATTGTGGTGAATATACACCTTGTCAGGCAGAAGCAGAAATAGCTGAGCTAACTGGAGGGTTGTCTACCAGGTAGTGTTCAGCCAGGTAACCACATCAGGGTGTGGGTTTCACAGAGGCCAAAGAAAGTCTGAAGCAGTGACTCAGTCAAGAGGAGGTGGGTTTAGAAGCCATCTGATGTACTTCCTATACTCCTTGCTTTGGACTTTTGAACACTGAGACATTCTAGGCATAACACAGATGTAAACTCATGGTGCCCAAAAGCATTTCAAAACCTTTTCTTTTCTTCATTCCTGCCTTCCTTTCCCTTCCTTCCTTTCTTTCCTTTTGTTCTTTTTTTTTTCTCTCTCTCTCTGTCTGTGTGCCTCTCTCTCTCTCTGTCTCTCTCTTTCTCTCCTTTTCATTTTTGAGATAGGATCTCCCTTTGTTGCCCTAGAATGTGGTAGCATGAATGTGGCTCACCGCAGCCTCGACCTCCTAGAGACAGGGGTCTCAACTTTGTTCCCCAGGCTGGTCTCAAACTCCTGGCCTCAAACGATCCTCCTGCCTCAGCCTCCCAAGGTGCTGGGATTACAAGTGTGAGCCACTGCACCAGCCTGAAGTTCTCTTGGCCATCCATAGTTCCCCGACAACCTCAACAACAGTTCTCAGCCATTTGCTAGGGCTATAGAGCACAGTACCATAGACTGGGTGGCTTAAACAACTGAAACTTACTGTCTGCACAATTCTAGAGGCTAGAAGTTTGAAATCAAGATGCCAGCAGTGTTGGTGCCTTCTGAAGGCTGTGAGGAAAGAGTCTGTTCCAGGCCTGTCTCCCTGGCCTATGGACAGCCCTCTTCTCCCTGTGTCTCTTCACATCATGTTCCCTCTGTGTTTGTGTCCAGATTTCCTCTTCTCGTAAGGACACCAGTCATATTGGACTAGGGCTTACCCTGCTGGCCTCATTTTAACTTGATTGCCTCTATAAAGACCGTATCTTCAAATAAGGTCACATTCTGAGGTACTGAAGGTTAGGACTTCAACATATACATTTTGGGAGAACACAATTCAACCGATAACATTCAGAAAAGACTCTACCCCCAATCAGCAGAACTTAGCAAATTGATTGATTGACCCTTAAGAGAATTCCATTTACTGGAAATTCACCCTCAGGGTGAGTTGGAGAAGGCACAGGTGATATCAAAAGCTTGTGTTATGACGGGGGAGAAAATCTTGAGTGCTATGCTTCTAATATAGCTTTCTGCATTATAAGTTGAGTAACATGAGGCTGTGCGTGGTGGCTCATGCCTGTAATCTCAGCACTTTGGGAGGCCGAGGCAGGCAGATTGCCTAAGGTTGGGAGTTTGAGACCAGCCTGACCAACATGGAGAAACTCTGTCTCTACTAAAAATACAAAACTATCTGGGTGTGGTGGTGCATGCCTGTAATCCCAGCTACTCGGGAGGCTGAGGCAGGAGAATCGCTTGAACCCGGGAGGCAGAGGTTGCAGTGAGCCGAGATCACGCCAGCCTGGACAACAAGAGTGAAACTCTATCTCAGAAATAAATAAATAAATAAATAAATACATTGAATAACTTGCTCAATAATAGGAAAGGCAACCTGACAGGGTAGAAAAAACATGGACTTTGAATGTAGACATACTTGTGATCGAATTATGACCTCCTCCCTTACTACCTGTGGCATTTGTGGAACTTAACCTTACAAATCCCCTTTTGACTGTAAAATGGAGAGTATAAAGAGGTTGTTGAAAGGAGTAAATGATAAATGTATCTAAAGTACCTGGAACATAAGAAATCAAGAAATGTTAGGCCCATCTTTCTTTTTAACCTGTTAAGAGTATTTTAAATTACTCTGAAAGGCTTTCCCCAACTGCCTCTTCAAATCTAGGTGGCCTCTCTGTCATAGCTCCAGGCTTGTCCATAGCTTATGGGACCAGACAGTGACTTCCCTATGTTTACGTCTCACGTTCAGTTTGTTTTGACACCGATTGAAGTTGCCATTGAAGACATGAAGAAGAAGACACTGCAGTTAGCGGTTGCCATTAACCAGGAGCCCCCTGATCCAAAGATGCTTCAGATGGTGCTGCAAGGCTCTGTGGGAGCTACTGTAAATCAGGTAAGCAAAATCAGAGGGTGGTAGTTCCTCTGGTTCTTATTATTTGGGTTGTCATTATACTTCTGCACCCTCCTTCCTTGGGGTTGATGAGGACTTTCATCCATAGACAAACACAGAGATGTTCCTACACTTAGCCTGAACACTTGTGAGGTTCAGAAGACTTTTAGGAGGCCTCTTCCCTTTCATGCAACAACCCCAGGTAAAAAAGAAATCCTAGAGATGAGTGCCCAGGTTTTAAGGAGTACCATTTTCTCAGAGGAGTCTCCACTTCAGGGCCAAACCTGACAATATGATGCCAATCTGGAGTCCCATTGAAGAATGGTTAGTCATGACCAATACATGCAGAGTCATTGCAGGGCTTGAGACTCACCTACAAATGCCTATAGGAGAGAGGGAAAAGGATCTAGAACATCCAACTCTTGGGTCAGTCAGCAGATGAACCCAGCATGCCAAGGACCTTGACAACCAGGAATGACCTGGGACCTGACTTCTTTGGCCACTTCAGACAAGACTAGCTCTTCTTCTCAGACTTATTAGAACCTGACTCCCAAGTTCAGCATGGTGCTCAACCAGTCTCAGATGGAAGGAGCTAGCAGCCTAATACCTCTGTCCAGTGGGCCTCCTTAATTCAATCCTAGATCTGTTCTTGTCCACACTTCCACACTCAGATATTCAGTGAGCATCATCAGTCTTTTCTCATTCAGCATAATTGGATTTCCCCACAAAAATTCTGAGCATACTTGACATCAAGGGAGCAGAAACAGAGAAATGCCTGTTACATTCCCAAGATCAGGAAAAAAAATGAGGAAACTCTTGCCTTTGTAAGCACCAACTCTTTGATAAAATGGAAGACTTTCCAAGCCCACAAGCATGGTCTATCTGTATACTATGGATATCTCTGACTCAACCCAGCAGTTATGCAAAATGATGTTTGCCACGGGGGCAACTAGACAAGTGAACAAAAATGAATAGATCAAGGCAATCCTGATATTTAGAAAAGCAACTCAAAGCACGTACCATTTGATATAGTTGTATTACATTTACATATGAATGAAAATCTATTATTAGTAGTATTTGATTAATAAAATAATATTTGGGGCCAGGCTCGGTGGCTTATGCCTATAATCCCAGCACTATGGGAGGCTGAGGTGGGTAGATCACTTGAGGTCAGGAGTTTGAGACCGGCCTTGCCGACATGGTGAAACCCCATCTCTACTAAAAATACAAAAATTAGCCAGTGTGGTGGCGGTCGCTTGTAGTCCCATTACTTGGGAGGCTGAGGCAGGAGAATCGCTTGAACCCGAGAGGTGGAGGTTGCAGTGAGCTGAGATTATGCCACTGCACTCCAGCCTGGGAGACAGAGTAAGACTCTGTCTCAAAAACATCAACAACAATAAAAAAAAACAATAAATTTGGGCTGTGTACGGTGGTGCACGCCTGTAATCCCAGCAATTTGGGAGGCTGAGGTGGGTGGATTACTTGAGGCCAGGAGTTCAAGATCAGCCTGGGCAATGTGGCAAAATCCCATTGCTACAGAAATAGCCAGGTATCGTGGCACACACCTGTGGTCCCGGCTACTTGGGAGGCTGATGTGGAAGAATCACTTGAGCGTGGGAAGAGGAGGCTGCAGTGAGCAGAGATCATGCCACTGCTCTCCAGCCTGGGTGACAGAGCCAGACCCTGTCTAAAAAACAAAAACAAAAACAAAAAACACATACAGAGAAAATGCATTTATACTTCTGAGTATTCTTCTACAATTTCAGACTCCTCCTAAGGAATCAAAGTTTCCTGAGATGTCCAAGACCTTCCTTGATTCTTTTTTGTTTATTTCAAACCAACTACAAAATTAAATATTCAAACTAAAAAGTCACTCCAATATTTTCTCTCAAGCAATTTAATTTCCTTCATGTATATATATATATATTTCTTTTTTTTCCACCAGGGGCCACTGGAAGTAGCCCAAGTGTTCTTGGCTGAAATTCCTGCTGATCCAAAACTCTATCGACATCACAACAAGCTGAGGTTATGCTTTAAGGAATTCATCATGAGGTAAGAAGGAAAACGGCTGGGAATATCAGTAGAGCAGTGGTTCTCAAAGTGCAGTCTTAGACCAGCAGCTTCAGCATCACCTGAGAACTTGCTAGAAAGACAAAGTCTCAGGCACCTCCAGACCTGCTGAATTGGAATCTCTGGAGGTGTGGCTCAGCAATGTGCATTTTAACAAGCCCTCCAGGTGATCCTGATGCACACTGAAGTTTGAGGACCACTGCAACAGAGCAACACTACTTGAACTACTAATGAGTAACTAACATGTAAACTATAAAACGCTTTTGTGGCTGGCATCCCGTGTGCCTCACCATCACTTGTTGTAAAACAAGTGTCATCATCTTCCTCATTTTACAAAAGAGGAATCGGAGGTTCAGAGAGAGGAGAGAATTTTACTTAAGGTCACACAGACAGTTGGCAGCAGAGCTGAGCTCAGACCAGGTCTTCTGAATCCAAATAGTCCACATGTCCAGCAATGTGCTAATATTCCACTGATGCACTAGAGTCCCAGAGGTTCTTTGCATTGGCAGTCATTGTAATGTTACAAATCTTATATCTTATTTTTTGTAAAAATAGACACTGCCTCAAATTGAGAGAGGCAAGTTCTAAAACCGGGCTTTTCAAAGGTATTATCCTGTAACAGTTCCCCATGTCAGACGAGTCTCATCTCTCTTCCTAAATTCTGCAATGGAGCTGGCTTCAAGAGCAGTCAGTTAGGAGCTGGGTCTTTGGTCGAAGTCTTGTAATTTATTGCAATACAGACAGATATATTGGGTCTCCAATGGCCCTAAAAAAACGAGTATGAAGGATATGATAGCATTTCTCCTATACGAGAAAAGGACTTCAGAAAAATGTGTACCAATATTTCTTTTTATTCAAAACCTTAGAGAAGAATATTAAGTATAGGAATATCTTCACTTGGCAGATGGGGATAAAGGAGACTAAAGGTTAAAGTTTGCTAAATTCAGTGAAAACTCATCAAAATGCTAGCATTTGTGAGGTTAGAGGTATTTCCTTCACAGGCTTTTGTGAGAGGTCCACAACTTTGCTACATACACATGAGACACACTGTGCCCGTCAATGAATCACAGCCACCTGGTAATAGGATGTGTGTGTGGCCTTGTGTGTTTGCATTTGTGCATGTGTGTGAACATACTCACAGATTATCTTGATTAATGTTTTGATATTTGAATTGTTTCCTGTATTTGACAACAATTCTGACAAAAAAAGTAGATTTTTTTTTTTCAGTACGTAATACATATCTTTTAAAAGGCTAGAAAATTATTTGGGGAATTATTTTATTATTTCATTTTATTTTGAGACAGGGTCTCACTCTGTCACCCAGGCTGGAGTGCAGTGGCATAATCTCGGCTCACTGCGACCACCACTTCCCAGGCTCAAGAGATTCTCCCCGCTGAGCTTCCCAAGTAGCTGGGACTACAGACGTGCACCACCACACCTGGCTAATTTTTGTATTTTTAGTAGAAATGGGGTTTCACCATGTTGGCCAGGCTGGTCTTGAACTCCTGACCTCAAATGATCCACCTGCCTCGGTCTCCCAAAGTGCTGGGATTACAGGCATAAACCACCGTGCCAGCCCTATCTTTTATTTTTTGTGGAGACAGGGTCTAACTATGCCATCTAGACTGGTCTTGAACTCCTGGGCTCAGAGATTGGGGGCTTTTTAAATTTTTTTCATATATTTTTATTTAAGATTAATTACGGTTGAAGGCTTCCAAAGTTGACAATGCCCCAGGACCTCTAAAAGGACCTACGAAATGTTTAAAGAGCACTCACTATATTCCAGGCACGATATTAGTTATGGGAATACAGAGATCTGACTTGTTCCTCTGTTCTTGATGACAGGACATAGCTCTGCATGGCTGAATAACACAATGCAGCACACGCACAGAACTTTAAGAATGACTACCTACAGGAATATAGAGATCAGAAAAGAGAAATCAGTTTCAGGCTGGAGCGTTTGTGGGAGGCGTTATGGAAAAACACCACTTAAATCTTGTCTTAACTATATAGGTGGAAGACAGGCACTAGTGGGGAAGAGGGAGCCATGACAGTGACCCTGCCTGATCCAAGGTTTCATTTTCAGCTGTTTTAGTTACCCATGGTTTGAAAGTATTACAATAAGATATTCAGAGAGAGAGAGAGAGAGACCACATTCACATAACTTTTATTTCAGTATATTGCTATAATTGTTGTTAATCTCTTACTGTATCTAATTTGTAAATTAAGCTTTATCATAAGAATGTATGTATAGGAAAAAAACATAACATATGCAGGGTTCGGTACCATCCGCTGTTTCAGGCATCCCCTGGGGGTCTTGGAACCTATCCCCGGGGACGAGGAGGACTGGGTACCAGTGAGCGGAACAGCAGGACCACGAGACTCTGTCAGGAATGCCTCTGATGCACCGGACTCCTCTAAGTCCACCTGGAGCAGCGTGTTCTCATGAGCATGCTAGGACACGGAGGAAAGATTGGAAACACGATAATATCAGTAAATGAGGCTATGAATAGAATTTAAATGCATAAGAAAACTTGTCAAGAGAGTGATTTTCATTTACTTAAGTTTGCCTCAATTTTTTCTACTAGTTGTAAATCTTGCAATCTAGTATCTCATGGGTACGATCCTTTCCATGACTCCATCTAGGTAAAATGTACTTACAAAATCCCTACTAAACATGTGTTTCTCATTAGCTCCCAGCCCCAGGAAAAGTTACTCCCAAAAGAAACAGAACCCAGTAAAACTAGTCCCAGGCAAGAGATACAAGAGTAAATGGACTTTCCTAGGATTGGTCCTTTTACAAAGTCATGCATTAGAGTTTCGATAATGATGCTATCATTCTCCCCAGATGGCCTGCAGAAATGTTGGATTTTCAAAATCAAATTCACCATTTTCAATGTTGTTCTCCTGCCCTTTTAATGGTGATTCCACATGGGAACCAGTCCCACCTTTCTCCCCACTGGCTGGGCTGCTGCATTGTTCTAGGAATGCCAGGAGACTGTCAGTGCTTCCCAAACTTCACTGTTCTTATAAATCACCTGAGGATTTGTCAAAATGCAGATTTTGGCCTGATGCAGTGGCTCTGCCTCTAGTCCCAGCACTTTGGGAGGCTGAGGTGGGAGGATTATTTGAGCCCAGGAGTTCAGGACCAGCCTGGGCAACATGACGAAACTCCGTCTCTTTAAAAAAATAGAAAAATGTAGCCAGGCGGGGTCGTGGTGTGTGCCTGTAGTCCCAGCTACTCGAGAGGCTGAGGTGGGAGGATAGCTTGAGGCCAAGGAGGTCAAGGCTGCAGTGAGCCATGATTGTGCCACTGCACTCCAGCCTGGGTAACAGAGCAAGACCCTGTCTCAAAAAAAGAAAAAGAAAAATGCAAATTCTGATTCAGTAGGTCTGGGGTGGGTCCTGAAGCACTGCATTTCTAACAGTCCCCAGGTGATGCTGCTGCTGCTACACTGGACCAAACTTTGAGTGGAGAGCCTGCAAAGATTGCTTAATTTCCTCCCTTTCACATTTTCTCCCTATTACCTCTCCTTCCTTCCCTAAGGGCTTAATTTCTGAGGCCATCTTTACCATCATTTACCTCTTTTGTCTTCTGCTTCCTCCCTTCAAAAAAGCAAACATGCTCAAACTGCTGCACTTGGAACCAACTATAGACGTCAGTTCATCCATTCATTTGGCAATTATTGAGCTCCTACTTTGTGCCAGGCACTGCGCTGCATATGTGAAAGGATGAAGTCCCAAAACCAGTGGGACAAGGCTGCAGGCAAAACAGTACTGCTGCTCATGATTCATCTCTGTGTGCAAACGCAGCAGTTGGCTTGCCCTCCACTTTATTCCACAGAGATCGGAAGGCATGGGTGAGAGTGTGCTGATGGCTGCACAGCTGTGTAAATTTACTAAAACTCATCAAACTCTACACGTAAAATGGGTGACTGTTACGGTATGTAAATCGTACCCTGAATACAGGTGGTAGATGAGGTGCCTCTGTGGCTTAATTGCTTCTCAAGTCCAATCTGGAAATTACAGCTTTTAATGAATAGAGTAACTATTTTTTCACGTTGTTTGCACTGGTATATTTTCTCCTCCACTCTGCTAACAGACAGCAGAGGTGACGCAGAAGTGGAAAATGTTTGGGGCTTGAACAGCTCTCAGGTTTCCCCTTTGGTAAGCTCCAGCTTCTCAGCAGACTTGGACTGTAGATCGATAAGCCCAGATTTCCAAGGTGACCATAAATGAGCCTTCTGTTGCTGAGAGCTCATAGCGGAAATGTTTGCATGCCAGGCCCACTGTGTCTAGTGCCACCACTGGGCAGCAACCTTTCTGACTCAGCTGTAGTGGAAGCAGAAACAGCCATAAAGAATCCTGGCAGCCTGACTTGCTGCAGCCAGCACTCGTCCAGCCAGTCCTGCAACTCTTCAGACTGTTACCAAGCTGGGACCTCAATCTGCTTCTGTCTTTTCCTGCAATCATAAAAAACATCTCAGGTTCAGAAGCCAAGACAGAGAGATACAATGTTCTATCTTCCTCTTCTGCTCCCCCAAACACCCCGACCATTTAGGTTTTTACATTTTCTCCTTTATACTTATCTGGACTTTCTCATTCCTATACAGACTAAGTGATGTTAAATTTGTTTTTAATTTAAATAAAAGATAGTAGTACTCATTGGCACCAGTTGCAGCTTGCCTTTAAGAGAAGTAGCTTCAGGTATTCCCTGAAAGGGTTCTGCAGCATATATGTAGTCATAGGCTCAGAGAACAGGCTGTTGAGTGGTGGTGTTTTTAAACTGGAGTTGGGGTCTATGAAGAGGAAGGAGAAGAAATTTGTCCGAGTAGCCAAAGGGCAACCAAATGTGTAGAGTGTAGGTGGAAACAGAAGCAGTAGTTTTTAACTTGAGACCAAGGTCATATGCCTGGCTTATAGCTGGAAATGGGGAAATGGCTTTCCCAGGCAGTATATGTGGCATTGGGGTTGGGAATATG